TCCTTTCTGTCTCTCTGTCTCTCTGGCGGGCTCACTCCGGAAAAAAAAAAAAAAAAAAAAAAACTTGCTTTTGTAGCACTCCACAAAAGCTGAGATTCATGAACAGTGTCAGGACAGTGGGGGAAGCAATGTGGTCCAACTTGAGCAATCCCGTTTACTCCGGTTCAAATCGAGGGCCAGGTAGATGGGTGAAGTAACTTTCCGTCCTTCAAAAGATTTGCTGCACACACTCAGGTCTTCTGCTTCTATCAGAGGTCAGGTGTCCCTTCTCCAAAATGCTTAGAACCAGAAGTGTTGCAGGCTCCAGATTTTTTCAGATTTGGTAATATTTGCATACTTGTAATGAGATAGCTTGGGGATGGGGCCTGAGTCTAAGCACAGAATTAATTTCTGCCTCATATACACCTACACATATTGCCTGGCGGTAATTTTATACGTCTTTTATTGCTGCCCTTGGGTAGTGATCCTCCACACAAGGGCAGGCATAGAATTTTCCACGTGTGGTATCACTTCGGTACTCAAAAAGTTTCCCATTTTGGAGCGTTTCGGATTTCGAATTTTCAGATTGGGGATGCTCAGCTCAGCCATGTTTGATTCCGCCCTGCTTCTGCGACGCGGCCTGCGTTAGCGGGTGGCATGGTGAGAGCTGTGTTCTATGGGGCATTCCCTGTGCGCTTCACCTTGGGCTAGATGCTCGTTAAGCCCTCTCCGGGGTCTGAAAGTGGGACCATCAGGATCCTCACTTTATAGATGAGGAAACTGAGGCTCAGAGAGGTGAAAGGACTGGCCTCGGGTCACAGGGTAACGATGCCGGGAGCCAAAGCGAGATCTGTGAGATGGCAAACGTCACCCTTGCAGGCCTTCTGAGCAGGGCTTACATTTTACCTATCGCCCAGAGGGGTAGCCAGGACCCTGGGGACCAGTACTCTGCTTGGAGCGAATGCAGAACGGGCATCTCCTCCCTGCCAAGGTCACCTTGAACATTCAAGAAAGCGGTCTTGAACTTTCCCCACCTCCTCAAGTCTTATTAGACCTCCCGCTCCAGGAGGCGCCCCTGCTACGTCTTTGTGTCTCTTGCTGCAGATTCCGTCTGACTCCAACATCCGGCTGACCACCAAGTCCTTCCGAGCCTTTGTCCCCAAGGTAAGCTCCGGTGCAAACAGAGCCCACTAGACTTCAGGGGTTTCTCTAAGTCTTCTAAGTTCCTAGCGGCTGGACCGAGAATCAGAAGGCTTGCAGTGAGACTCCCAGTGGAGGCCAGGGGTACTGCAGACTGAAATTCCAGGTCCCCTTCAAAGCCCAGTCAGAGGCCTGAGCTCCAAGGCTCAGGGGCCACAGGTTGTCCAGTCTTTTATTGGTACTAAGAAGCCCAAGGAACGCTGGCATGCCCCATACAATGCACCTAATTAATAGTGTCCAACAATTGCGCAGGGCTTACTAGTGGCCAGGCACATCCTTGGTTGCTTTAAAGAATAACTGTTTTAACAGATAATAAAGTCTCCTGGTTCAATATTCAAAAGCTACAAAAGGCTATAGAGTGGAATGTTTCCCGTTGAATCTTGTCCCCAAACTGCCTAGTGTCCACCTTGAATTTACCACTATTATCAGGTTGTGTATCCGCCTGGTGGTACTCCACAGGTGCAGCCACCAGCTGCATTCAGGGTTCCTGGTCCAGGACTTTGCCAACTACCAATGCAGCCCGGCTATGCCAGTTGTTATAAAGCGAGGGAAGGTTAGATCCCTAAAAGAGGAGCGGAAGTTCAGTGTTTTCCTCTTTACCTGTATCTGATCTTTGGATGACGTCACAGGTCATCTAGAGAGACTTGCAAGTACACGGATTGATCGGTTCTATGCAAATACTCACCATTTTATAGAAGAGATGGGAACATCCGTGGATTTTGGTATCTGTGGGAGTCCTGGAGCCAACCCCTCATGGGTACTGAGGGGTGACTAGATGGCAAATGTGCATCTTCATTTTTTCACAAGTGGAGGCACATTACACACCATTTTGTACCTTTTCCCCGGAGCCAACGCCTCATGGGTATTGAGGGGTGATGGCAAATGTGCATCTTCATTTTTTCACAAGTGGAGGCACATTACACACCATTTTGTACCTTTTCCCCCCTCTCCTTGTTGTGTCTGGGAGCTCATTCCCTATAGAGAGAGCTTCCTCACTCCTTACTTCTCGGGTGTTCAACCTGCCCTTGTATCGACCGACCACAGCTTGTTCAGCCAGGCCACCTCGGCAGGACGCACGGGCTGCCTCCGGTCTTCTGCTGCAGTGTTGCAGTGAATAACTCAGTACTCTGTCATGGTTGGGAGGTCCTCTCACATGCATCAACCCATTAGTCCCACTCGAAATCCACCAGTCCTCTCTCCCAGACCCCAGGAGTCCCCAAGACACAGCTCAGGAGGTGGTACCATTTAACACACCCCGCAGAAGGTTTGGTCATAGTGAAAGGAGACTTACAGAGTAAGTAGCAGGCAAAAATTTAAACTTCAAGCGCAATAGTGTCTGGGTCATGTCCTCCTGGGAGGCTCCTCCTGCAGGCCTTGTCTCTCCCTAGAGCCCCACTCGCAGCCAGCCCTGCTACCATGTTGTCTGAGCTAGCTTTGGAGTGCCCTTCACTCCAACCTTCCTTCTGTAGCAGTAAGCAAAGGAAACTCCCAGTCCTCCTTCCTGGCTGCGGCATGGCTGACTGGCTAGAGAAGCAGCTCTGCCTGCTTCTTAGAACAGCAGCTTACCTCTGCAACCTCTAAATGTCTCTCTTCTAGGACAGAAAGTAGATTTTAGACTTGCATAACGAAAAAGCTCATGGGAGTGTTCTCGTACCAACTTCCTCCCAAAAGAAACCGTCTTGTCCCCAATTCAATTCTGCTCTAGCCTCTAACTAAACAGAAACCTAGACTCACGCTTGAAATGATAGGATCTGTTGTGTTGGATTTCAAAACACTGGTGTCTGGTCTCAGCGTGCACGGTCGCCAGAGTGTGATGAGGAGTGGAGAAACCATAGCTCAAACTCATTGTCTGGGAAGCCTAGGGAGTGAAAAAATTGACCTGACCTTCCAGGAGGACTGTGCCTGCCAAAAGCTTTATAAACACCACTGCCCTTTGATTCAGCAATCTACGTAGAAATAACAGCCCGCGGTACCCAAAGGGGTGGTCATTATACTGGCAAAACCTCAGGGACTTCTTCCCAATAGGGTTGCATCGATTATAATACCCACCCACAACAGAGTACGCTGCAGCCATGAAAAAGATGCTGTGAACACTGTAGGTCTGATCTGAAGATACCCAGTTACATCATTAAGAGAAAATCAAATGTCCAGTTACATTGTTGAGAGAGAAAGAAAGGTCAGTTACCTTGTTAAGAGCAAATGTCCAGTTATAATACATTGTTAAGAAACAATATCCAGTTACATTGTCAAGAGAAAAAGAAAATGTTCAGTTACATTGTTTAACAGAAAGTGACATTGTTAGCATTTTATGGGAAATAAATCAACCAGAAGCAGCGTTATCTGACTCTCTGCAGTCTCTCCCCAAGTCTTTTCTTCTCCTGCATAATCTCCTATTCTGTCCCCAGTTAGCCAGGCTTTACCCCAACATGAACTTGGAACTTCAGGGAGCAGTGGTCCTTGCCCCACTCCTGAATTTCAGCTCTGGGAATCTGTCCTTGGCGCCCCACATGGAGATAGAGGCCTTCGTGCTCCTGCCCAACTCCGACAAGAAGCCTGTCTTCCAGCTCAGCGTGGTAAGGCTCAGCGCGTTTGCAAATGCTGTTCCCGTTTCTGGCATGCTTTTCCTTCAGGCCTAATTCCTAGATGACTTCTTCAGGTTTCAACTGAAATGTGACGTCCCCAGAGAGGCCTTTCTTGATCGTCCTTATGCCCAGTATATTTCAGGCCGCTTGCCAGGTTTTTCTTACAGCACCTTGCTGTTGTTCGTAGTGGTTATCCAGCGTTATGTAGCTGTTTGCAGCTTAACTGCTTGTTGTGTGTCGCTCCCAAAAAGTGAGGCTGAGCTGTCAGAAGGTCTGTGGGTCCTGGTCCTGTTTGTCCTGCTCTGTAACTGTAGCTGATCCCCGAAGACTACATTTCCCAGGCTTCCTTGTGCTCTGACTTCCCACTAGGTCAGCCAATGGAAGACTCCCCTAGGAGAATGCTGGGGGGAGAGGGGACGCAGAATGAAGCCAGAGTATTTTCCCCTATAAGGACAGAGGCCCAGGACAGAGGCTCTGGCGGTGACTCTGTTTCACAGAGGAGGCTTCTATTCCCCAAATCCACCTCTGTTCCTCTGGTGGAAACAGCCTCCTGTCTCTGCGTCTCTGAGAGACCTCACCAACTTTATTTTTCTTACTTCCCAGCAATTCTATGGCTATATTACCAATTCCCCACATTGAATCCCCTCTGTATTAACTATTGAGAGTGGGTTTTTTCTTTCTCGATGAACCCTATGGAATAGAGAAGGGACTCTGAGTCCTGTGGTGGCTCTGCTCACTGCATGAACTCTGCTCTCTCGTTTGAGGTTCGAAACTCGATGAGTCGAGTCTCCGGAAGGGCATTTGCTCTGACCTGCTATACCCGCACTCTGGTATCGTGGCTATTGTAAGGACGGTTGTTGTTCATGTGTCTTGAGTTAAAATAATAATAACAAAGTTATTATTACATTACTACTGCTATTGAACCGTGGCCCTCTGCTAGCTAGAAACAATCCTTTACAGAGCACTCGGGAATGGGTTAGTTATGCCACCTCCAAATTTAACTGCTGTCAGCAGTTTCAAGTAAAAATGTTGAAGTCCACGTTCAAACATTTATCACAAGCGCAAACATGTATTGAACATCCGCCATGAACCTTTTGGGAGTCCATAATCTAACGAGCCAATCTCCTGTTTTAACGCTGAGCTTAGGTGGGAGGAGACACGTCCTTGTGGTCGCGGCTTCTGTGCCAACCACCCCATCACTCACCTCCGTTTCCCTCTGCTGCTATTTCCAGGCCACTAATGTGTCCGCCATGGTGACCTTCCATACCGGCAAGATCACTGGGTTCCTGAAGCCAGAAAAGTAAGCCAGCCTCCTGCCCATGTGTGGGGCGCCCACCAGGCTCCCCCTGGATGCCACAGTGCCCCACTGTAGCTGGGATGGAGGTGGTAAGAGGTCTCCCTGTCGGTGTGGCAAGCCCTGCCATCTGGGAGGGAAACGTATCTCCCCAACTGCGCCAGGCCTTTGCCCCACTGGAACTGCTCTCATGAATTTTGAATTTCTAAGGAATTGCTGAATACTGCTTTCCCCTCTTAATCTGTGGGTTTTAGACATCGGCTGTATTGGGAATGTTGAGCCCTCTCACACGACCCCCTCCCTCCCCTGCCAGCCTTCCCAGCATCATGAATCACTGCTTTTAGGAACTCAGCTCCCTCGCTCCAGCCCCGCCCCTCTGTCAGTCCTCTGCCTTCTCAGGCCAGGGCTCACTCCGTTCTGGGGCCCCATAGTGCTTGAGCTTCCCACAGGCATGATACATCTCTGAACCGTCTGATTCCCCACAGGGTACAAGTGGAACTGAAAGAATCCAAAGTTGGAGGGTTTAACGTAAGTTACCATTTTTATTTCTGATACGATTAGAATATGAATGAATGCGTGATGTTTCCTAAGCAATTGCTCTGACATCTGTAATGGGACATAGAAAAGAAGCAGAGATGCTCTCTGCCCCAGGGAACTGCAGAAGCTCTTGGGGACCCAGACAGAGAGTAAAGGAACAAATACGGGACAATATATATAACTAAGCCAGCTGTTGAGCAGAATTCTTTTAACTTCAGGGAACAGAAAGCCAACTGAGAGGGTTGTAAGCAAAGGGAGGAATGTATAGGGTCATACAATTAAAAAACAAAAAGCAATGAAGAATACTAAGACGGAAGGTTTCAGGCCTCGTTGGATCCAGGTGCCCAAATTAGTGTCAATAATGTCTCTCCACCTTTTCAGTCGATAATACTTTATTTTATTTTTATTGCCAGAGGGGTACTTGGGCTTGCCATGGAGACAGAGGGGGCAGGGGGTGTGGGGACAGAAAACACCCTTCGGTGGGGGCATGGTCACTCTGTAATCCCATCTCCTCCATTTCTCCTTCATCAGGATTCTGAGCATGCATGCCCTGCATTTTTTCAAGCTGCCAGGGACAGGATTCAAACTGCAGTGGGTCCTGTGGGCCTGGCTCCCAGCGCACAGCATTTAACCACTGCACTAAGGGGCCAGCCCTCGTTCTGCCTTCATCGGTGCTGGCTTCGTTCTCAGGCAGTCTCTTCCCGGTGGTGGGAAGCTCCAGTGCTCCCAGTGATGAGCAGGCCCTCATCAGACTCGCCTTAGTCACCTGCCCATTCTTAAGCCAATCACTGTAGCCAATCAGCCAAGCCTGGGGCTACACGCCTGGTGCCAGGGCTTGCAGTCAGCTGCACCCGAGCCCTATGCACTAAGACTGGAGAAGAGGACTTACCGGGAAATAGGAACCCTGTTATCTAAACGAGAGAAAGCCGAGCAGGCAAAGACGAGGTGACAGCCACAGGAGTAAAGAGTGGTGAAGGAGATGGCCGTGTGGGGAAGGGGGCAAGAGACTGGAGGACCAGCGTGGGCTAGAGTGACAGAGAGCTTTCTGGAAACAGGGAAGGCGGGTGGTGGCAGCTGCTCCTCACAGGGCAGGTGGGTGGACTTGAACTCGCAGGGGTGGCCATCTTCCCTCTTACACGCCTGCCCGCTGGCCCCTCAGGCTGCCTGCACCCCTTCCTTCTCAAACTGCCCTTACAAAGTGGAAACAAACCCAGAAACTGTGGGGAGGGACATAGCATGCAGGGACCCCGAGGAGGCTCCTTCAGGTGAAGTGTGACATGAGTACTGTCATGCTAACATCGCCCCTGGGCATGGCCTGTACTAATGTTCTCTAAAGTGAGGCATTTGTACGTAAAGATTCCGTTTTTGTGAAATTAAGAAGCCAGAACTCGAAATCCTGACCTGCTGCCGGTTTCTAGTGAGCCACTTGGGTTCTGTGGCCCTCAGTTTCCTCATCTGTGAAGGGGGGAGGCGTTAGTACAAACTCGTGCGGTGGTTGTGAAGAGCGAATGAGATACACACGCACAACTCCGAGCCTGTGCCTGGCCTGCAGTGGCGATTAAAAGACGTGCTTCGTAAGATTTGTAGGGAAGCACATTTTGATTTTACTTCATTTTTAAACACTACACAAGTTTTTGGGCTGCCCCTATAGCCTCGTGGTTAAGGAAGCCAGATCCCACACGGTCAATCATGCAGTTCAAATCCCAGTCGCAGCAGCTTGAGAAACACAACTGGGTGTGTGTTCGTGTGTGTCCAAAACCTCAAAAGGAGGGAAAAATGGAGGAGGAGGGATTACAGAGTGACCACGTCTCATGGAGATGCTTTCTCCCCCTCTCTGGTGTGTGCACACACCCTCTGGCAATTAAATAAATACACAAATAAAGGAATTTACACAAATTATTCAGGAAAAGATCCTCATGGCTAGAAAAATTAAGTTAAATACTAAAAATTAAATACTTCATGGCAACAGCAGGTGGTGTGGTGGTTAAAGCTCTGGACTCCCATGTGGCCAATTGCCGTTTGTGTCCTGGACCTGGTGGCTTGCTTGCTCTCTCCCTCTCTCTCTCTCCTCTTGTACGTGTCCTGCAGCTAATAAATAAAATTAAATAAATAATTCTTTTTAAAAAGTTAAATACTTCCAATATTCTCTTCATTTGTATATATATAGAAATATGCATCTCAAAAGAGTTTACGTTATAAAATAGTAACATGGTGTAGACCTCCGTCTGCAATTTGCTCTCTTCAAGCTTTCTGCCACAGTACACAGAGACCACCCACCACCACCACCACTGCCACCCCCTCACCTCAAAAAATGCCCATGTGGCCCCTTACTGGTGGGCCAGATGGCCTGAGTGGTCACAGCGCACCTCTCCTGTTGTCCACCAGGTGGAGCTGTTGGAGGCATTCCTCAACTACTACATTCTCAACACGCTCTACCCCAACGTCAACGGTAAGGATCCCTGCAGTTTTCTCCCAGTCAAGAGTGCACTCTGCTCTTGGGGGGAAAGAGAGTTGGACTTGGAGTTGGGAAAGGGGACTCCCCTGGGCGTTGTGTGACCTGAGCTTCCACGGCCTGTGAGATGGGATCACAGGGGTTGCCTCATCTGGCCCCAGAGCTCTAAAGAGGCTTGGGAGCTGGGACAACTCAATGGAGCTCTGGAAACCTCAGGGGGGAGAAGGAGGGACTTACTGAAGGCGAAAGATGAGGTCGGAGTTAAGGATGGAGGTCGTCAGGCGGCTCACCTCTGAACTCACATCTGCCAGTCAGTTGTCCAATTCCCTAGTCAAAAAACGAAGCATGAAGTCCAAAGCCCTGTTTCCATGAGGTGTTTCTTCCAGGAGAGTGGGAGATGGTGGGAGGCAGAGTGGGTACCCACGTCCTCCTTGGTGTGAGTGTGGCTGCCACTTCCTCCACAGAGCACCCTGGTTGACAGCCAAGGCTCCTGTGCCAGTCTTCAAATCCCGGTACTGCTACTTCATAGCTGTGTGGCCGAGCACAGGTTATTGAGCCACTCTGGGCCTTAGTTTCCTTGTCTGCAAAATCAGAATAATCATACCTACCTCAAAGTCGTCGGTGTTGAGTGCTAACACAGTGTATGCAGAGCAAGGCGCTCCAGTAAAAGCCTGTCTGGAATTGTTATTTGTGAACACATCACCCTCACTGTTGTGCTTCGACTCCAGATAAGTTGGCGGAAGGCTTCCCTCTCCCTGTGCTGAAGCATATTCAGCTCTACGACCTTGTTCTCCAGATCTATAAGGTCAGTGGGTTCAGGGGACTCTGAGGATGTGGGTGGTAGGGGTTCCCAGCAGCTGAGAACACCTGGGTGGGGACAGGGTACTCCTGGCTGTCGCAACAAGCCACCAAGCCACCTTTGTGTCCTTCAGAAGTGGTATCTGACAGGCCCCTGTGCTCCTGCTGCTTCGCCCCACGGAGACCTGTGGGACCTCACGACAGCTCATGTTGAAAACACTATGAGTCCTTGGGCTGGCTCCGTGGCTTGGTGGGTAAGGCAGCCCAGTCCCACATGGCTGGCCACGCACTCAATCCTGTTTGAAAAACAGGCCGAGCGTGTGTGGATGTGTGCCCCAAATTCCAAAAGGCTGGAGAAGTGGAGGAGACGGGGTTGCAGCATGCCTGTGCCCCAGGGGAGGGGCTCTCCGCTGTCTCTCTGGGGAGCGCACATAACCCCAGCAAACCTAAAAAAAACAAAAAGCAGTGAGACCTGGACTTCCGCATAGTCAGGTCCTAACAGCCACTTGTACGTTCTAAAATTTCTAAATTCTTAACTGGAACAAGTTCATCATACATGTATGTTCAGCATGCTCTCCAACACACACACCATTTAAAATAGTACCATAACCAGAAGCGCGCTTCTGAAAAGTATTTATAGCCCCCTTCCCCACCACAACCACAGTTTGATTTGGGTTTATTTCCTTCCACTTCCTTTCTATGTCCCTAAGCTTTATTTAAACTTCGTGTCTGTGTGTTTGTTTTGCACAGCTGCACTGTTAGTGCTCAGATTTAGTTTTTTTATTTTATTTTGTTTTTTCCTTTTCTTCTTTCTTCTTCTTTTTTTTTTAATAATATTCTTAGCAATCTTAATCCCAAGAAATACATGTCTGATTTCTCACTATTCTAGCTACTATTCTGACCAAGCACTTTGTGGCCCATCTTTACCCCCAAGTTTCAGATTATCTTTCTTTCTTTTTAGAGAGGTTTCTGTTTCTCCATGCACTTGCCGGAGAGACAGAGAGAAACTGAGAGACAGAAAGCAAGAAATCATCCCCCTCCTGCTCCAGGGGTAATGACCACCTGCAATCCCTTCTTCTCCACTCTCCTCTCAGGATTTTGAGCACACACACACATGCACCTAGCGTGAGTTTCAACCTGCTGGGCCCAGGATTCAAACCACAATTGTCCATGTGGGAGTCCAGTGACGTAACCATTCTGCCATCTGCCCCCCCCAGGTTATCTTTCAAGAATAGCATCGCTCGGATGTGGTGACTTGGGTAGGCAGACTTGGGAGCATGTTGATCTGGGCTGTGCCTGGTACGTAGTCGAGGCCCAGGAACTATGGCTCTTGGGTCAGCCCTGCTGCCCAGCCGTTAAAGGGAATGGATCCCACATGCCCTACTGCAGTTCAAAGCTCAGCCTGGGAGCCTGAAACACACCAGACTCATGTACCAATACGTGCCCAAAATCCTGACAGGAAGGAAAGATGGAGGAGAAGGGATTGTGGTGTGGCCATGCTCCATTGAGGGGTGCTTTTTCTCTGCCTCCCTCCCCTGCGCCCTTGCCCTCATTAATAATAATGATTAACGAGAAGGAAGGACAGGGAGAATTTGGGAAACGAAATATTGACCAAGTGTTTGTTATATTTGAAAAACAAATGTCCAAAACCCTCTTGGGCCTTGAGATTCTTGTCATCGAATTCGACTGTTGTTGAGGATTCACACCAGGAGACGGGTTGTCGTTCAAGTCGCAGACTGAGTGATTCACACCGTTGGCCTCAGCTCTCCCCTCTGTGAAATGGAGAGGAGCCCAAACCTTGCTGGGCTTCTGTGCACGTTAGAGGTCCAGTCGGAAAGCTCCTATCTCCCTTCGGCGTGGGGGCAGTGATGAGACTTATTGCATTGTCGTTTTCCTCAGGACTCTGAGCTCAGCGCTGTCCATTTGTCTGAGCAAATAGATCGGCAGGGATTGGACTTGGCCGTGCGTTCTGAGTGCCCGTCCCTCTGGACGGTGGGAACCTGAAAACAGGGAGCAAACCCCTCACCTCATCATTTCGTGTTACTCACCAAGGAGAGAAAATTGAGGCGACACAGGACGTTTATGAGGCCTGCCCGGAAGCAGCAGCTCGGGGAGTGACAGATTGCTGCCTGTGAGAAGAGCGCTGGCAGAGCTGTGCTTCCGAGGCCTTGGGGACAGAGGCTTGCTCCCCGTGTATGCGCACCCCTGGCTTCCGACAGGGCCTGTGCTCCCTGAGCTGTGGGCTCCCTTTACACTGCAGATGCTGAGCCGGCCTGTGGTTCTGTGGGTAAGGGAGTCAGATCCCGCATGGCCAATTGCACAGTTCGAATCTCAGCCCCACCAGCTTGAAAAACATGCTGGGCACTCGTGCCTGCATGCCCTAAATCCAATAGGATGGAGAAACGGAGAAGGGATTGTGGCATGACCACGCCCCATTAAGGAGGGCTCCCCCATCCCTGTCCTCTGTCTCTTGGTCTCTGGCCAACATATGCGCTATCTGGCAAAATAAAATTAAAAAATAAATAGGAAACAAGTTGCAGGTCAGCAGGCGGTGTAGTGGTTAAGGATGCTGGACTCCCACATAGCCAACTGCGGTTCAAGTCCCAGACCTGGCAGCTTGCTTTCTCACTTCCTCTCTCTCTGATTCTGTCCCTCTCTGGTCAAAATTTAAAATAAATAGATAGAGTTAAATAAAATAATCCTAAAAAAAAAATAAGAAAGAAAGAAAGCAAGAAAGCAAGCAAGCAAGCAAGAAAGCAAGCAAGCAAGCAAGAAAGCAAGCAAGCAAGCAAGAAAGCAAGCAAGCAAGCAAGAAAGCAAGCAAGCAAGCAAGAAAGCAAGCAAGCAAGCAAGAAAGCAAGCAAGCAAGCAAGAAAGAAAGAAAGAAAGCAAGAAAGCAAGAAAGCAAGAAAGCAAGCAAGAAAGAAAGCAAGCAAGAAAGCAAGCAAGCAAGCAAGAAAGCAAGCAAGCAAGCAACAAAGAAAGCAAGAAAGCAAGAAAGCAAGCAAGAAAGAAAGCAAGAAAGCAAGCAAGCAAGAAAGCAAGGAAAGCAAGGAAAGCAAGGAAAGTAAAGAAAGAAAGAAAGCAAAGAAAGAAAGAAAGAAAGAAAGAAAGAAAGAAAGAAAGAAAGAGAGAAAGAAAACTGCGCAGTGCTCTAGGGTCTGGTTTTAACTGAGATGCAGATGGTTGTTGATTGGTTTATCCTTAGGGAGCAGGAGGAAACATAAGAATTAGAAAGACAAAGGAACCAGCAGTTAGTGTAATGGCTATGTCGCTGGTGGTTTCCATCCCGGACCCAGTGGCTTAAAACTCACACCTGGCGCGTGTGCGTGCGTGCCAAGAGAGGAGAATGGAGAAGGGATTGCGGTGTGACCATCCCCCCTGGGGGGGGTGATTTCTCCCTTTCTGTCTCTATGTCTCTGTCTGTCTGGCGAGCACACGAGCGGAGAGACAGAGAGAAACTGAGAGACAGAAAGCAAGAAATCATCCCCCTCCTGCTCCAGGGGTAATGACCACCTGCAATCCCTTCTTCTCCACTCTCCTCTCAGGATTTTGAGCACACACACACATGCACCTAGCGTGAGTTTCAACCTGCTGGGCCCAGGATTCAAACCACAATTGTCCATGTGGGAGTCCAGTGACGTAACCATTCTGCCATCTGCCCCCCCCAGGTTATCTTTCAAGAATAGCATCGCTCGGATGAGGTGACTTGGGTAGGCAGACTTGGGAGCATGTTGATCTGGGCTGTGCCTGGTACGTAGTCGAGGCCCAGGAACTATGGCTCTTGGGTCAGCCCTGCTGCCCAGCCGTTAAAGGGAATGGATCCCACATGCCCTACTGCAGTTCAAAGCTCAGCCTGGGAGCCTGAAACACACCAGACTCATGTACCAATACGTGCCCAAAATCCTGACAGGAAGGAAAGATGGAGGAGAAGGGATTGTGGTGTGGCCATGCTCCATTGAGGGGTGCTTTTTCTCTGCCTCCCTCCCCTGCACCCTTGCCCTCATTAATAATAATGATTAACGAGAAGGAAGGACAGGGAGAATTTGGGAAACGAAATATTGACCAAGTGTTTGTTATATTTGAAAAACAAATGTCCAAAACCCTCTTGGGCCTTGAGATTCTTGTCATCGAATTCGACTGTTGTTGAGGATTCACACCAGGAGACGGGTTGTCGTTCAAGTCGCAGACTGAGTGATTCACACCGTTGGCCTCAGCTCTCCCCTCTGTGAAATGGAGAGGAGCCCAAACCTTGCTGGGCTTCTGTGCACGTTAGAGGTCCAGTCGGAAAGCTCCTATCTCCCTTCGGCGTGGGGGCAGTGATGAGACTTATTGCATTGTCGTTTTCCTCAGGACTCTGAGCTCAGCGCTGTCCATTTGTCTGAGCAAATAGATCGGCAGGGATTGGACTTGGCCGTGCGTTCTGAGTGCCCGTCCCTCTGGACGGTGGGAACCTGAAAACAGGGAGCAAACCCCTCACCTCATCATTTCGTGTTACTCACCAAGGAGAGAAAATTGAGGCGACACAGGACGTTTATGAGGCCTGCCCGGAAGCAGCAGCTCGGGGAGTGACAGATTGCTGCCTGTGAGAAGAGCGCTGGCAGAGCTGTGCTTCCGAGGCCTTGGGGACAGAGGCTTGCTCCCCGTGTATGCGCACCCCTGGCTTCCGACAGGGCCTGTGCTCCCTGAGCTGTGGGCTCCCTTTACACTGCAGATGCTGAGCCGGCCTGTGGTTCTGTGGGTAAGGGAGTCAGATCCCGCATGGCCAATTGCACAGTTCGAATCTCAGCCCCACCAGCTTGAAAAACATGCTGGGCACTCGTGCCTGCATGCCCTAAATCCAATAGGATGGAGAAACGGAGAAGGGATTGTGGCATGACCACGCCCCATTAAGGAGGGCTCCCCCATCCCTGTCCTCTGTCTCTTGGTCTCTGGCCAACATATGCGCTATCTGGCAAAATAAAATTAAAAAATAAATAGGAAACAAGTTGCAGGTCAGCAGGCGGTGTAGTGGTTAAGGATGCTGGACTCCCACATAGCCAACTGCGGTTCAAGTCCCAGACCTGGCAGCTTGCTTTCTCACTTCCTCTCTCTCTGATTCTGTCCCTCTCTGGTCAAAATTTAAAATAAATAGATAGAGTTAAATAAAATAATCCTAAAAAAAAAATTAAAAAAGAAACAAAAAAAAAAAGCAAGCAAGCAAGCAAGAAAGCAAGCAAGCAAGCAAGAAAGCAAGCAAGAAAGCAAGAAAGAAAGAAAGAAAAGGAATGGCAGATGCATCTTTTTGGAGTAGAGGATGCTCTTTCTGATCCTGCCCTGTCCTATTTTCCTAGGACTTCCTGTTCTTGGGTGCCAACGTCCAGTACATGAGAGTCTGAGGACGAGAAGAAAAGTGGGGCTTGGAGGCCGCAGCTGGATCTGGCGGTTGTATTTCCAGATGTGCAACACATCTCTGGAGCTGCTCGGAGGATGCCGACATTTCTGTTCCCAGCTCTGGGGAAGATCTGCCCAGCCTCTGCCCCCACACTCCTCCTCTTCACCAAGTACACCCAGGCCCCCTCCAACTCTGGGCTTGACTTTCTCCTCCAGGAGGAAACATCCTCCCCACTGGCCTGTGCCTTCATTAGGAGCAGGCGCTGTGGTCACCCTCTGATCCCCAGGCCTACGGGGGTGCCGGCATTAGTAGGTCCTTAATAAATATTTATTGAATGATTCAATGCAGGAATCACCTGGCGTCCCAGCTCAGTGTCCACGCTGCCACCCTCTTCTGGCCTCACGGGTCAATGATTTCTGGCCCCACTGTGATGACCAAGGCTAGATTTTGCCCACACTCCCCTTTCTCACGGGTCCCCCAGGAGTCTCAGTGAGAGAGGAGGGGACTCTGCTGCCTGGCCTGTGCCTGGCACTGACACTCTGCTCTAAACCCCATCTTGTCTCTGCTCAGCATCTGCTCCCTGCCTCACCTCCTGCCTGCTGCTGACCGGGGCCAATGGGTCTCCCAGAGCAAACAGCCCCCTGCCTTCTCCACTGGAAGCAGGTAGAAATTAGGAGGAAAAGGATCTAGTCTAAGTTTTTGGTTCGACCCAAATAAAAGACTCAGCCAACTGTTGTTTATGAGCCCCACGCCTGGAGGGAGAGGCCATGAGTCCTAATTACAGAACAATGAGCCTTTGATCAGACTTAATAAAGAGTCATTTCCAAGTTATGTCGTTGGGCCCCCGGGGGACTGGAAGTCAGAAGGCTTGTTTGATATTTTTTTATTGTGGTAATGAGCAGATGGATGGAGCTGCTGGCTAGCAAATAACTCACAGGAAATAGACCCATTTACCCTGTTTGTGACAGAGATGCTTCCCAACTGGGACAGGCACTGTCACCCAGCTGGTGGCAGGAGGAGCCATGGCTTTCCCTCCTCCCTCCTGTTTACTTGGCTTCACTTCCCTGCCACCATCACCATCACTCTGGTGGACTGGCCAAGGGCCAATGAAGGCAGCTCGGAGAACTGTAGATAGCCGCAGTTCTGCACAGGTGGAAAGATCAAAGCTGTTGGGTATGGCATCAAGGGGTTGGGCAAACAGCGGAGTCAAGAAATCAGCAAGTGAGTCAGCCCATGCATGGTGGTTAAGGCAGCTGGACCCAACATGGCCAACCCTTTGGTTCGAGTCCTGGACTTGTTACCGAACTCAAATCAGGTTCGCTCGCCCAAGCACTATAAAACCAAGCCATAGGCACATGGTGTGATGAAGGAAAGTACAGCTTTATTGCAAAGTGCAAAGCAAGGAGAGCGGGCAGCTCATGCTGAAAAGACCCGGTCTCCCTGAGATGTTCCCCACATGCGTTTTTAAGGGCAAAATTGGGGGCAGAGGTCCCAGGCGCATGATCAGTTCAGTGATTGGTCCAAGAGGGTGTGATCATCTCGTGGGCATTCTTGATGGGTGAGGCCTTAGATAATCAAATTCCTCTTCAGGTGTCTGGAACCGTTCAGCCTGGAGTCTCTGAGCTCAACAACCAGCAGTTTCCAGCCTACAAAACATCTTACATATTGAAATGAAAGCCTATCTTTCCTTTAAGTGAGAGTTTTAGAGGTCAAATGGCCCTCACCCATGGTCCATGCTGGTCATTATCATAACCGAAGTCTGAAAACTTACTCCTTACTCCAGGCCATTACAATGCAAATGGACTTTATATTTCAGGAACCCTAGAAAATACATTAGGGGGTTCTTGCTCGGTTTCAGACTTGGTGGTTTAAAAAAAATGCTGGGCATCTGTGCATGTGCCCAAAATCCCAAAAGGAGGGAAAAATGGAGGAGGGTATGTGGCATGAACATGCCTATGGGGGATGCCCAGCAGCTTGAAAACACGCTTGACATATGTGCGTGTGTGCCTAAGATCCTGAGATTGGAATGGAGGTGAAGGGACTGCAACAAGACCATCCTCCCTGGCAGGAAGGGGTCGGGGGTTGATCTCTCATTTTCCCTCTCTGTCTTCTCTGGCCAGTGCACACTCTCTATGGCAAAAACTTTAAAAAAAAAAAAAAAGTTGTAAAGAATTTTTTTACTTTTCAAAATCTAAAACAATTCTTTTTTAAATATAAAACTATTCTAAAATAAAATATTTTTTAAAAATTTTTAACTTGGACTTATTTTGTCTACCAAAAGCAGCATGCAGCATGCGTAAAATTATTAATTAAGGTAATCCTGGACCAGAGAGAAAGGTCGTTGGTTCAGTCCTTCACCAACAGATGGCGATAGCAGTTGCTTGGTTAGGGTTACTTTAAACCTGGGAACCAATAGGATCTAAGTAACAGGTTTCAAATGCTTCTCTGAACCAATCTGGCATCACAAATGCAGGAAAAGGGATGGAGTTCTCTTTGCTTGTCTGACACAGTGTTGGGTGCCTGGCACCCTTCAGTGGTTAATGAGAATTCGACCAGAGAAACACCCCCCAGCGCACTCCTCACACAGTAAGAATACCAAAGCTGGTCTCCTGGCTGGGCTCCCACTGGCTGCCTCCTGTCTGACACTTCTCCTGTCCTGAATATGGGTCTCCGTGAAGTCCCCAGCCTAATCTCTGATACCTGCGGCCCTCAGGCTCAGGCCTGGACCTGCTTCTCTTTGTCTACCTTCTTCCCAGCAGATGTCAGCCTCCAAGGCCTTGAGAATTGTCCCTGGTTACCATAAAACGAGTCTTCAAAAAGTTCCTGGAAAAGGTTTCTTATGAAAAAGTATACATGGATTTCAAAAATAAAATTGCACCAAAATAAACTCAGAATTCCATTTCCCATAAACTTTGCCAAATCCCCTCATATGTTTCCAACCCAGCCCTCTCTTCTGAGATGCTGCCAGCCTGTTCCCTAACTACAGGCTTGATATCCCTCTCGGGAGAACTGGATTTGGGGGGCTGCACCTGGCTGGGGTGCTAGGGGGAGGGTGAAGGCATCCTGAGGATTTCTCCTGGAGTCTGATGCATAAATCCCCCCACCTCCTCCCCAGCATATTCATCTGGGCCTGCTTCTCCAGCCCACAGTGGAACTCTGGTAGTAAAACACAGCAGAACAGACGGCTGCTTTATGGGCCAGAAGAAAACAATTCCCCACCTGGGGCCACTAAAGAATCCAAAGCCGATTCTCTGCTTTCCCTTAGAGGAGGCTTTCCTCCTGTCTCAAGTGATCTCACGGGGCCATTAGCACAGACATAGCTGCAGAAATCCCAGGGACAGGTGGGCTGTTTTTAAAAGGGTGCTCTCAGGGCCAGATCTGTGACGTGGGGTTGTGTCCTGACCCGCAGGACAGTCGAACAGGTTTCCTGAGGGAAGGAGTGAGAGACAGGACGAGCAGTGCAGAGATGAGGCAGTGTTACAACACGGAGATGACACAGTGTTACAACTTTTCTGGGTCATCCGGGTTGACTGTGGGCCAGGGATCGTGGTTATATACATGTGGGTGGGCAGTGATTGGTTGAATGAAGGATTGTAAAAGGTGAGTTATGATTGGTTGCTTTGTGGACCAATTATGAAGTGCCGGATATGCAAATCTGAGGCATTCTAAGCTCACCAATTTGCTATGGGAAGTGGCCAATCAGAGTATGGTTTTGAAGGTGAGGTTTTTGAAGGGGAGCCAATTGTGGCCTTTGTCATTGTGTAATTGTTTGCTCTCTGAGCCTAAGATGGCAATAGTAAGAGACTCATGAAAATGGCCTTGGCAGACTCACTGTGCACAGCCTCCCACAGGGTTGAAGGCAGCCAGATCCTACATGGCCGACTCTGCAGTTTGAGTCCTGGACCCAGCAGTTTGAGAAGGGCCCAGTGCACATGCCCCAGACCCCGACAGGATAGAAAGATGGAGGGGAGGGGATTGTGGCAGGACCAGGACCCACTGAGGACTGCTTTCTTCTCTCTTCCTTCCTGTCTCTTCCTCTGGCAAAGCTTTTTAAAAAGGAGCGTGCTCTCACCTACACTCATCTGAGAGTGGAGGGGTAAAACCAGAGGGTCAGACCCATCCTTTGCATCCCCAGACCCAATCTTTCTTTCCTCCCCAGCCCTCCACTTCCAGCTAAAACCTGCTCAACCAAGAGAAGTTCTCTAAGAACTGTACTTGCACAGTATCATTGTTAAGACTCTATATACAATGTCTGACATGAAAAACACAGACACAAGCAAAGTGTAAGCAAGAATGTGAAGTAACAGAGGCTGCAAAGACCAGCCAGTTGTCCACCAAACCATTTCTGTTTCTCCCTAGACACGCAGCTAAACTACATTTCCCAGCCTCCCTTGTAGTTAGGTGTGGCCACATCAGTGAGTTCTAAAAAATGGAATGTGAGCAGAGGTGATATGAATCATTTCCCAATGCAGCCCATAAACACCACCGGCATGATATTCTCTCTCTCTTTGTTTTTTTTTTTAGAGGTTTTTGCTATACGGCACGTGCGCTCACCAGACAGAGAGAGACAGAGAGACAGAAAGCGAGAAATCACCACCCAGGAGGGATGGCCATGCCTCAATCCCTTCTCCTCCGTTCTCCTCTCGGGATCTTGGGCATGCACGCACACATGCCCGGCGTGAGTTTTAAGCCACTGGGTCCAGGACGAGAATTGGGTCGACTACATGGGAGTCCCGCGACATAGCCATTACGCTAACTGCTGGTCCGATATTCTCTTTTTATCTCTTTTCCTCTCTCATATCCCATCTGCCAGTTGGATGTTAATATGGGAGACTTGGGATAAATGTGGAGGATGGCCGAGACTCCAGGAGCCTGGATCCCTGAATGAGTATATGGAGCAGAACGCCTCCCACCCCCAACAATCATTTGGACTTTATAAAAGCAGAAATAAACCTGTCACATTTAGCCACTGAGATTTGGGGATTTGTATATCATGGAAGCTAGTGTCTGTTTCAACTGGTACAGAAGGTAACAAGAGCATCTCGTGAGACTGTTGAAAGAGCGGAAATGTACGGAGTATATTAAGGTATGTAAATCGCTGAGTCTGTAGTAAATGCTCAATAAATGGGAGCTTTTCCACACTCCATTAGGCTTCTCCCTCGCTTCCCTGCCCAGTGCTGTCCACTTTGTCCTATTCAGTTAACTCTTCCTTTCCTTCAGCAATAAAAATGTGCGCCTCTCAACACCATAAATAACCAAATAATTGCTCCTTGTTCAGAATTCCACTAAAGCGTGTTATCGGCTCTACAGTTCATTTGGCAACTGACTGCACGGTATTGTGAATTGCTATT